GCCTTGGTCCCGAGCCTCCCGCCCGGCCCTCCCGCGGGCCTCGGCCCCTTCTTCCCACTTCCCGCCGGCCGGCCGCTGCTTGATCCACTTCCTACACCCTTTCCAATCCTGCCTCAGAAGCTCTTTCCTCCCGGTCTTGAAATCCCTCTTCTTTCTAGCTCTCTTCTGTCCTAGAGGTTTCCTCCAAATCTAGTTTGATCTTTCCGGGACTGTGTCCCTTGTTTGGCGACAGAGACGCGACTCCTTTCTAGACTGAGCTGAGATGCATCCTGCGTAATCGCAGCAGTGATGATAATACCGGCCCCATATCCAGATGAGAGACCTGACTGGGTTTTCTGCCAGGTGTTCAGTATGGAAGGTGAAGATCTCGTTAGACGGCTTAATTCACAGGAGACTAGTATTTTAGTTCAGAGACGTTTGACAGCTCATAAATGAGGGAGGTGGGAAGGAATTGGGAGGAAAGGGCAAGTAAAATTTTACTAAGCGAGCCTTCAGGTGAACAGACAGAGTCTAATTCGTTAAAGTGGAAAGTCAGGCTGCTTTGATAAAATTGCAATTAGGTGCAGTATTTTCAGTCCATTAAATAGATGGGGTGGGAGGTGAGGGGAAAGCAGATGGCTTAGCTACACAGATGAAAGTCTAAAATAGAAAGGTCAAGACTTTGCTTTTCATCTCAGTTCTGGTTTTTATGGGCTTGAAATAGAAACGGTTTACAATTGCGTTTCTTTCTAAATGGAATTGTTCAGAAATAATGAAAGGAGAATACTAAGAAGTCTCAGAAAATACTGATAAACCTGAAAATTTTTTTGCTATTCAGCTAATACAGTAGTTGTAATGAAAGGTGTTACTCTGACCTCTCAGAAAGTTTACTCCTGCAAGATTCACTGCAATTAAGTTCAAAAATCACTTCTTGGATTTTTTCAAAAGCCTAAATAAATGAAAGGCCTGGAAAATAAAGCTGTTCTGTCTTTATCCATCCTAATAGACACCTGATCAAATGATTCTCCTCTTAATGCAGCAGCTTGTCAAAATGAAAAAGCATTTAAACAATCTGTAGAAGTGGACTGCATTGGTGTCTCACACTTTATAAACTATCTAAAATTTAATTTAAAAATACTGTTCAATTACCATGAGTATAATGCTTTTTGGAAAATGTAAAAAATAAAATGGCGTGTAATAACACCACCAGGGATAAACATCCTTAACGTTTTAGAATTTTTCTCCCTAGTCTTTGCAAATTGTCATAGAAAAGGCTTATGAAATGTCATTTTTTACACTATTTAAAGACATTAAAGCTTCCTCCTTAAAATGGAAATATTTACCAAAGTGAAGGAATTTATCTCAGCATCAGATGAATACTGTACTATTTTGACACTTTTTTTTTAAACCTTAACTAGTGCAGTTATAGAATTTAAGGAACACAATTTAAATGTTGGGGAATGTTCAAGAGAGAGAAGAGTCATTTGTTTGGTATAACCCTGTTCATTTGCCATTAAATAAGTTTTTTAAATTAAATCTATATAAAGATGATGGTAAAATTTGTGTTTT